GACAGATCACTACCTAACTCTTAGAGTCATTGTGAGGCTCAAATGAGGTAATATTTTTAAATGCTTAGCATAGTGCCTTGTACACAATAGGCATTTAATAAATGCTATTATTATTATTAAGACAGAATGGATAGAGGCCTAAAATCAGGAAAGATTCATCTTCCTGAGTTCCAATCCAGTCTCAGACACAAGGGCAAGTCACTTAATACTATTTGCCTCAGTTTCCTCATCTGTAAAATGAGCTGGAGAAGCAAATGGCAAACCACTCCAGTGTCTCTGCCAAGAAAAACCCCTAACTGGGTCATCAAGAGTTGGACTCGACTGAACAACAAAATTATTATTATTACTGTTTTTGGGGATGCCCTTCGAAGGCAAGGGCTATGTCATTTTGTTTTCTTATCTTAGCATCTAGTGCAGTGAGGGCTCATGGTAAATGTATGTGCATGCAAGGGGGAGGATTTGTTACTTCTACACCCTGTCTCCCCCCCACCCCAGCTTAGTTGATGTAATCACAAATGACTGGGTGTTAACTTTTTTTTTTCAGTGTGAACATGTTTCTGTGATAGAATTCAGGGGACATGCCCCTGCAAAGGCTGGAGTCAGTCAATTGCAGGTCAGGTTCTAATAGTTTGGGAGTGAGACCATACCAGAAAGTAGCAATGGGATGTTGGCCCATCATGGTATCAGCACCGGCCCTTACCCATTAGGAGATACCCCCATTCAGTACTTGGAGAGTCAGCTTGAGTCACGGCTGAGATGCATCCATTCAGAAGCAGACATCCACTCTCCAAGCATACAGTAATTGCCAAAGAGGCAGTTACTTGCAGAGTGGGACCTCCGGCAGCAGAAAAGAGAGCAGCTGCTTATGGACTCAAGAGAGAGCTAGTCCTAGCAACTGAGAATCACTCTTCAGAAAAGAGCAGACCTTGGGAGGCTAGCTGAGTAACTGGCCCAGCAGAGATACGGAGTTCAAGGTCGGGGTGCAGGGGTGGTGGTGGAGCGTCTTTATAAGCGCTCTACAAGGAAAGGACGTGGAAGCCCAGCAGTACTGAAGTTGTGAATTGCCTTTGTCACTCACTACATTCACTCCCTATGATGACGTATTTAAAAGTTTGTGCCCATTCTTTCCATGGATAATAGTGTATTTGTGGGAAATTTATGGGGAGAATATAGCTCCTATTTTTATTAGTCTAAAGTTAATGGGAAGCACACTAGTAGTGGCTCAAGAGCTATAAATGGTGTAACCACTCCATAGGACCAGAATGCAAACTGGAGGAATTATCCAGAAGGCAGGTGCTATAATCCTTCTTCTGTAAGCACTTATTATCAGTACCATTCATTTAGCATTTCAAATATACAATATTATGTTCATATAGTAGCTAGCGTTTATATATTATTTTTAAGGGTTGCAAAATGATTTGCAAACGTTATTTCATTACCCTGGGAGGTAGGTGCTATTATTCTCATCCCGGTTTTACAGGTAAGGAAATTGAGGTTAAGTGATTTGTCCAGCGTCACACAGGGAGGCTGGATTATACAACAACAGTTCAGGACTCCAGATTAAACCCCGCAGCATTAGGGAACCTCTACGGCTTTTTTTTGCGGGGGGTGGGGCGGGACGAGAGCTCTAAGCGCACGACCGCTTACGATGCTAGGTAACTCTAGAAGGAGACTTGTTCGAACTTTCCCGGGAACCTGGCTCTCCTGGTAGCCCCGCCCACCCGAGTGAGCGATGGGCGGGTGCTCAAGCCCCTCCGCGTGATCGACATTGGAGCTACGGATTTGGGAAGGCAGGCAAGGCGGGAGCATCGGCCCTCCCGAGCCTCCATTGGTTGACACTCGCGGCCCAGAGAGGAAAGCCCACTTGGCAATTGGCTCAGCGGCCTGAGAGGGGGGCGGGACACGGCCGCATTTTAAGGGCGTGTCAGGCTGCAGTGCGCCGGCGCGTCGTTGGGGACGCTGGACTGGGCCTCTTAGTCAGGGGCACGAACCGCGTCGCCCCGCCCACGGGGCTCTTTGTCCCGTTAACTGTCCGCTGGTGGAGGGAGGGCTGCGGCCCGGGGGCGCCGGGGGCGGCGGAGACATGCCCGTGCGCTTCAAGGTAAGCTGCGGGGGGCCGGGGTCGGGGGACATGGGCCTGCCGGGCCGGGGAGGGCGGGGGAGCCCCGCGTCCTAGGTGCCTAGGGCGCCAGCGCCCCATTTTACGGACGAGGAAACTGAGGCCCCGAGGCGGGAACGGACATGTGTCCTCGATGATGCAGCCGGCCAGTGCCCGAGCTAGGGAAAGGACTCGGTGGTCTGCCTGTCCAGTCCTCTGCTTCCCGTCCCCTCCATGCTCGGCCTTCTCCTGAGCAGCATAGTTTTCTCCGCAACTTTTCCAAATTCTTCAGGAAGATACTTCAGTTACTGCCTGGAGCATCATTATATTTTAGGGGGCGTGTGTGTGTGTGTGTGTGTGTGTGTGTGTGTGGTGGCATAGTGGAGAGAACGCACGTGATAAATACATGTATAATATATGTAACATAATAATAATAATATGCATATGTAATAAAATCAGGTTAATATGTGTGTATGCAGGGTGTCCCAAAAGTCTGAGTGCAGTTTTGGTCTTTAAAGAAAAAATTTAAGCTGTTAAAGCTTAAAGCTGCACTCTGACTTTTAGGACATCTTGCATAATAATAATAATAATAAATAATAATTTTGTGGCTGTTAAGTCATATCTGACTTTTTGTGACCCCATTTGGGGTTTTCTTGGCAAAGATACTAGAGCGATTTGCAGTTTCCTTCCCCAACTCATTTTACAGATGGAGAAATTGAGGCAAATAGAGTGAAAGTGACTTGCTCAGGGTCAAACAGCTAGTAAGTGTCTGAGGTCAGATTTGAACTGGGGAAGGTGAGTCTTCCTGACTCCAGGCCTGGCACTCTATGCACTCTGGTGCCACCTAGCTGCCCCAGTAATAATAATGATGATGATAATAGTTGCCATTTGTATAGTGCTTTATGGTTTGCATAGAGCTTTACATATCTCATTTAATACTAATAGTAATAATAATAACAGCAGTCAGCACTTACATAGCAATTACTATGTGCCAGGCGCTGTGCTAAGTGCTTTACAATTATCTCATTTGATCTTCACGACAACCCTGGAAGGTCCGTCCTATTATTAGCCTCTTTTTACAGCTGGGGAAATTGAGGGGCAGGAGAAATTAAGTGACTTTGCTAGGGTCCAACTGCTAGTAAGTATCTGAGGCAGGATTCAGGAAGACTGAGATCTTCCCAACATCAAGTCGAGTGCTCTCTATGCCCTGTGCCACCTGCCTATGTTTGTGTGTCTGTACTCTTATATACACGTGCATACACATTTCACAAATACATATATGTATGTAATGTCCCCAAAGTGTTAGTATAGCCTTCTATACAATCACCTAGCTGTATCTGTGTGTGTATGTATGTATGTAAACATACACATACACACACACACACACAGACAGGGTGTCCCAAAAGTCTTATTGTAATCTGATGTGCATGATTCCACCTAGCTCTATTTGTGTGTGCACGCATATTTTTAAACAATACACATATATGCATGCATGTGTAGATGTACACATCTATACCAGGTGTCTCAAAAGTCTTAATGCAGTCTTTTATGCACTATGCCTATATTCACGTGTGTACATATGTGTGTGGATACATACATACATACATACACACACATATACATTTAGGGTGTCCCCCAAATCTTAGTGCAATATTCTATGCACTGTGCCTCCTAGCTGTATTTGTATGTATGTGTATGTCACATATAATGTATATAAAATGTGTGTTTCTACAGAAAGAATGTCCCAAAAGTCTTGGTGCAGTATAAAGCTTAAAAAAAAGTAGTTTAATAGGCATTAAAACTTACAATGCACTAAGATTTTTGGGACATCTTGTATGTGCGTGTACATATTTGGCTGTGTGTATATGTATGTGAAGTACTGTGCAAAAATTAAAAGCACTATATAAATTCCAGCTATTATTATTGTTATCATTTGATATCTCATTGGTAAAATTGAGTTCTGTCATTTCCTTAGCTTAAGTAAAATAACCTGCCTGCCAAAACTTTTGAAATAGGCAGAGGCTGCTGCCTGGTGTATTGGAGACGGTGCTGCATTCGGACTTAGAGGTCCTACATTCTGATGCTTGCTCTGCCACTTAAATGCATGACTTTGGGCAATCAACTTCCCATATCTAGACCTGTCTCCTCATCTGTAAAACGAGATTGGGTCAGATAGTCCAAGACTCTGGTTTTTTCCATCTCTAAACCTCAGATCCTCTGCATTTTCAATTTTTTCAGAAATGGAGATTCAGATAGAGAATCATATTTTCTTATGCTTTTTAGAATTTGGGTAATGTGCTAGACTAGCTGTAGGGATCATTTGCCCTTTAAAACACAACTGATGAAAAACAGGGTGTCTTCTCCTTCTACTTAGGGAGGTGTGTCCTTATAGTTCTAAACCTTTGCCCTACTGCACCATATATCACATAGATCCTGTTATCTAGTGGATGCTTCAACAAGGATTGATTAGTTAAATTCAACAAGAATAGTAAAGTTGCTACCATGTGCAAGGCACTAGAGAGTCAAAGATGAAAAAGAATACATAGTGCCTACCCTTAAGGAGCTTACTTTCTGCTGAGGAATGTAAACAAGAAAGTAAAATGAAGATTAGCTGATGGGGGAGAGAATGATAATAAATAGGGGGACTCAAGAAAGACTTCTCATAGAAGAATATACCACTACCAAATCTTGAATTAGTAAGTAAAAATAGTCTCATAGTAATGATAACCTGCCATGAAGGAATGCATTTAACTTCCTGTTACAGAGTTGTCAAAGAGAGAGCTTTTGTATTTGATTACTAATTCTGAGATTTGAAATTTTTTTAAAGGTTCAGAAGTAATACTTAATGTGTTTGTTTACAAAGTCTCTGAGTATCAATCCTATACATCTTTGTGTTTTGCAGGGTCTGAGTGAATACCAAAGAAATTTTCTGTGGAAGAAATCACATCTCTCAGAGTTAAGTAATTCTCCGGAAAGTCAAAAAAGTCCATGGGCTGGACTTCGATCAGATCAAATAGGTAAGTTTTAGAAGTTGATGGCTATTATAATTTGTGCACATTTTTTTCTTACTGGGCAAAATCACACGTCATTTTGGCTTTGCATTTTATAAATTGTGAGGTCTTCCCAAAGTTCTTATGGTTGTCCTGGTTGACATATGTGAATTTGATGTAGTTGATGTTAACTTAAATGACATTAATTTATAAACATCAGAATACTCTGCCGCATATAGAGGCATGTGAATATCTGCAAAGCAGTAGCAAATGGCGATTTTTACTTGTATTGCAACCAGTGTTTTGTGTAATTTTTGCAAGTTGCTATCAGATGACATTGTTACATGAGCAACTGTGAAGTTGAGGCTTTAGGGAGCAGAGTTGAGCCAGGGTTAGGTGGAAAGGTCTGCTGTGCTTGTCCCCCAACTCCCTATATCAGATAAGACTTTCCCATGCTGGGATAGGGACAGGAATGGGAGGTGGTTTTCCTGTTTGGAAGCCTGGGAAAACATGCTTTAGGCTGTGTCTTATTGGATGACCTTGGTCCCAGGGTAACAGAACAGGAGCCGGGGAAATGGAGAGCTTTAACAGATTAAATCAGAGAGGATTCCTGAGATTATCTTGGGAAAGGGGAGAATAGAACCCATATCACTAACCAGGGGCAGTTAGGCTTCTATACTTCTGGCAGTGTTGAGAATGGATTGCTTGCTCAAAAATAGGTTCTGAATGCTGTCTTGTCTTAGTCATACTTAAATGATTGAAAGGCTGTGTGATTTTATTTTATTTTTTGGTATTGAATGCAAATGGCAACTCTTCTATGCCTTGCTAGATGGTCCAAGTAGCTATGGCCAGCCTATTTGAATTTAGATTGGTTCTCTCAATTATGAGAAACACAGTTCTTTTCAGTGCTAGAGATTAAAAGTTTTTTCATCTTGCTAGGACCTGCTAGAGCTTGTTCTACTGGCAAACTTTCAAGACCTCAGTTTTACATGTATGCCATGGTGAGACATCAGTGTATGACTCTGATAGGTGTTACTTAGACTGCTTGAAATTCTGTCGGTTGGAGTCTTTGGTAAATTATCAAGCCCAAATAAATGTCCTAAAAATGCAGACTTTAGTTGGGGTGACAAGGGGAAACTCTATTTGGTAATCTATACCTTTGGGTTGAATTAGTTTGGTCAGATTACCTTCTTAAACTGAGATGACCTCAATTAGATTTTAGGTGGAAGGGTAAGAGTTGTTGGGGGGGGTGGACAAGTAGAGGAGAGTGTGGAGAAGGGACAGATAATTTGGGATTATTGGTGATGTTGGGGGAGGCAAGACAAGCCTAGATGGGATATTATAATGAAAGGGAGCTTGGACAGTGTGAGAACCCTAGAGGCCTGGGATTGTTAAGGATCTTAGAAGTTTGGAGAAAGGGAGGTAGGAAAATGTCAAATAAAAATTCCAAGAACTTTTTCTGGGGCTCTCTGTTCTTACCTTTTCCTTTTCTGCCAGCTCCCTTTTTAAGCTCTATTCCCAGAGGCATTAGGAGGTAAGAGCAAACTCTCCTTTCTTTGTATGTTGCCTGCTGACGCTTGGAAAAACTCCCTTTTGTTCCTTCATTGCCATAGGGAGTTGCCCCAACTCAGAAACACAAGAACTACTGATTGTAGAATTTAGAGCTGGAGGCACCTTAGGAATCGTGTAGTCCACATCCTTCCTTTTATAGATGAAGAAGTGGAAGCTGGCTTTGTCATGTACAGAAACCACTGACATGGCCCAGGTCGTGTTGTTGGTAAAGAACAGAGCCACCATTGCCATGGGAATCCTTTGTCTCTAGACCCAGTGTTCTGAGTGGGTGCAGAGACACTTTTTGTTTTGGATCATATTTTATATGGTCACTTAGAGGCAGTAACAGTACCCTGACCAACTCACTAACTTTCTCTCCACCATCACGTTTCTGCCCACTTTTCTTTCACTTCTTGATTACTTGAAAACAGAGAATTTGGAATTAAATCCTGTATGTTCTTGGGCAAATCATTTAGTCTCTATGCTAGTTTCCCCAACTATAAAATTAAGGGGTCGGATCAGACTTGCACAGCTTTTAGGGTGCCTTCAAGCTCTAGATTTATGATCTCTGAACTTCTCCACATGGTAAAGTTATCTTTTTTAAAGCTAAAGAGCTTCCCCCAAATTTGGACAATTTTGGTTTGTTTTGTGACTAAGATTCTCAATCTGTAAATTCTGTTTGTTTTTTTAAAAAAGTTTGTTCTATTAAAATAGATTCATCAGACAGAATTCACTGCAGTGGTATCAGCTGTTCAAGGAGAAGGAGATTTCAGAATCTCTTTTGAGAATCTCTTCTTGTCTTGGAATATTTACTTTTCTCTGACTAATCTGCATAAGAAAGCCTTTTGAAAAGGTTCAAATTTGAACAGCACCAGAGCCAATTGTTTTTATGAAGTAGCCAGGAAAAACAATTAGAAACTGTGGCAACATGTCCTTTTTGACTTGCCAAGTGTATGATGTCATGACCTTGGTGCCTATCACAGCTGACTGGAACAGCATGACACTAATTTCGTTTTCTTTTTCAGAGAAGACTTCCAGGACTTATATTTCTTAGGCTAGGTTTTACTTTGAAAAATCCTTATTTAGTTTGCCTTAAGACTCTTTAAAATTCAAATAAGCATTTATACTTGAATTTCTCTTCCTTTCCTCATACAAATTTGTGTCATCGTTATGACATTAGAATCACCTAAGTATTCTTATTATTGATTCTGTTTTACAGGAATCACGAAAGAACCAAGTTTTATCTCAAAGAAAAGAGTTCCTTATTATGACCCAGAAATTCCCAAATACCTTGAGTGGAAGGCAGAAGATGCCTCTGAGAATGAGTTGGTTGTATTGCCAGAACCTGAAGTCCCAGAGGTGCCCAAACTGCAGGAAACAAAAGAAAAAGATGACCTGAATGAAGAAAGAATTTTAACCGCTGAGGCCCTTAGAGTGCCCAAGAGGGTTCGATCTCATTCTGCTGACTCTCGAGTTGCAGAAGCCATTGACCCTGTGGATAATAACAAAGAAGCGATTGCAGATCCCACACCAGCAAACAGGAATGCAGAACCACAAAAGCCTTCTCAAGGTCTTTCAGAAAATGTCCATGACCAGGTAAGAATTTTCACTTAGTTTTCTGGAAAGTAAAGAAAAAAATCTCAGCTTCATAGTAGTTCTAGTAGTACTGGCATACATACCTAAACCTTTTTTGTGTGTTGTGCTGGGCTTTGGCTTAGTTAGGGATCATTTCTAAACCTTGACTCTCAATTATCCACGTAAACTTAGGAATCTGTGTCAGTGATACAAAACAGTAGAGGGTCTGCCTCCGGATTTTATTCACTGCATATCGGTATCTGAATCCTGAGAGAGAGATCAAATGGAGACAGAAGGGGAGTAGGAGCCTCTCTCCACAGGTGGTGAATTCAGATACTGTGGTCTGTCCTTTAAGGGTTGACCTCTCAGTAGCCCCCTTTCACTTTCTTATCATGGACCAACAGGAAAGCAAACAGAATCTTGATTGACAAAAACCCTGAGAGGAAGGAGGAGAGGACTGGCTGGATCTCCCAAGTATCATTGCCAGCCTTGCTTTCTCGTGCCAGGGCCGGATTGTTGTCACGCACATAAGGGGTTTGTAGCAGCGCTTGTAGGGATATCACTATCTCCTGGGTTCCTTTGCCTGTTCGAGCGCTCCTTCCCAGTTTCATGTCTGCAGCTGATTGGGACAATAGAAGAGCACTAAATGGTGTTAGAGAAGAATCCGTGGCCCCTCAGAGAAAACAGACAAGGAGGAGGGACTCAAGAAAGGTGATGGGGAAGCTTGGTGGGCAGGGGGCAGTGTCCATGGTGGTGATTGAGTATGTAATGATAGCAACTGGATGGCCTGCGAATAAGAGTCAATCCTAACTAAAATACCAGCATGATATTCAAATGGCATTATTAAGTGGATTGTAACTATTCGATTTGAAAAATCTTAATAGCTTTAGGGAGGGGAAATTATGATTTGATTTAAATGGCAATTGCATCAATGATGGATATTTTAAAAAACTTGGATAAAACATTAAAATTTTTTTTTAAGCATTTGGACAGGATTCTACGGAGGAAAGCAGGATTGCCTGTTGTTGCTCCCATATATCATTCCCTCAGAAATTCTGAATATCAAAGACAATTTGTATGGAAGACCCCGAAGGAGAACTCCCCAATTCTTGCAGCTGATCAGGTAGCTTGAAGGATGGGTTGACAGTATTCGGTAACTTTTTACAATGTAGAGATGCATGTTAGCATGGGACCGAGATCCTAAAAAAACTAAACTGAAGTATAAAAGAAGTAGAGTCTAGGAAAGTGAAAATTTTGGTTTAAAGTTGCTTTAAATTGCTGAGTTGTGTTCTTTGTTATTACTTTAAATTTCTCCAGAGACTTAATTTTCTTTTTCTTCTGTTTTTGTAAATATACTCAGACCTCATATTCATTTTTTCCCTGCATACTTTTGTACCTTCAGAACCCCCAAGAATTAGAAGTGGAATGAAATGCTGTTAGTTGTGCCTAGAGCAGTAATCTTGTCAGTTGCAACTACTGTGGAGTTATTAGTATTAGTTTGTTGTTTTAGTCATAACTGTTCAGTGCAAATTGTTCAGTACAAAAAATTTAACTTACATAAAGCTTTCCATAAGTGATAAGATGCCTTTTAAAAACCTACTCACAGAAGTCCTAATAGATTAAATCTTCTGACAAGATTAGAAATCTTACTTGAAAGTTAGAAAATGAAAACTTTGCATCTGTCCAGTTTCTTAGATTTTCCAGGTAAATTATTTGAGTTCCTTAAACTAGAGATGAACTTGTCAGAAATCTGGTGGCTACTTCAGTACGCTTATGTGCTGATGAAAAAATTGGGTTAAGTCAATGTTGTTTCCTTAGAATGAACGAAATGAATCATTACCATTGTCTTGGGTATTAATTTCATCCTTGTCATTAGACAAGGGTCTAAAGGAGTTTTTTTGGAGTTAAATTTGGTATTTCATTTGAAGCCATATCAGTTTCTGAAATCTGTGTACATATTAGAGAGCTGTGTGAAAGAAGTTGACAGTGAGTTTGTAAATAAACTTTATTAATGCCAAAAGCCTGTTTTCTGAAAAGATGCCATATACAAATTTGTAAGTTAACCATGAGGCCTTTAGTTAAGAAATCCCTGGGGTTATAAAATACCAGATCACTACAGACTATACTTAGATTCGGACTTTATCAAGAAATAATGTTTTTGAAGTACAAATAAATATCAGAATCTCCCAATTTTATACATTGAACTTCATACCTCCTGTGCTTGTTTTTTATCAGAATCTCCCAATTTTATACATTGAACTTCATACCTCCTGTGCTTGTTTTTTCATATTAGAAACTTAAACTATATAGTAAAAATGCAAGTCAGACTCTGATATTTGCAAAAAGAGTATTAGATGCAAAGGATAGAAATATGAAAAAAAATTTTTTTCTTGCCTAATGTAAGTTGTTTTAATTTAAGATAAAAATTAAACAAATTATAAGAGTTGTTTAAGCTTTCAAATACAAGTATGTTTCCTTATTGATTGCAGTGAGCAAATTATGATTTAAATAAATACTGCTGCAGTGTTTAAAATACTGTTGCAGGAAATGAAAAAAAAACACCTAAGAGAATGAATAAATAAAAGTACAAAGCTTGCAAATGAGTTAATTTTTTTTTTGAGAGAGAGCATGTTATGGTGGAAAGAACCCTGAAATCTACGAGTCCAAAGTTCAGGTTCTAATCTGAATTCTGTCATTAAATTCAGACTCAGAATATGAGAGCTAGAAGGGCCTGAAAGTTCACCTCCCTGGGCCTCAGTTTTTTCTTATTTAAAATGAAGGGACTGAATTAGATGGTTTGTCCAGAGGCTAGCTATGTAAAGTGGCCCATCACTTTAACTCAGGGGACCTCAATTTCTTTTGTCTTCCAAAGGTCCTTTCCAGCTTTAAGCTATCAGGATTGCATGACCTTGTAACAACAATCCTTGAAGTAGCGGGTATTCATCACCGCTCATTTTCATTAGCTGGATTGGCCGTTTGTCAGATGATGAATAGATTGTGTTTGGTCGGCATTTCTGTTACCTGTCTAATACGTTGTTTCTTTCACTCTTGTCTTCAGGAGTTAGCACACTGTAGTTCAGTTTAACAGACATTTGTTAAGACTCTAGTATTTGTTAGACTCTGCCTCTCTCAGGCTCAGCTTCCTAGTCTATAAAATGGGGATAATAAAAGTACCCACTTACTGTTGTTACTTATTGTTGTGAGGTTTGAATAAAATAACAGAAGTAGTTTATTTCAGCTGTCCTCCTCCTATACAACTCATCCCCATTTCTGATTTTTAAGAAGTGAGATCAGGTCAAAATTAACATAATGGGAAAATACTTGGGGATAAGATGGATTCATTCACCTAAGTACAAGTACAGATCAGGGAAGGTTTTGTGGAGGTTCTTGGCACCTCAGGTGGGCTGTTGAATGTGAGAGCTTGTGAAGAGGAAGGAGCCAGGTCGAGAGAGGTAATGTTGAGCTCCAGGGAACAGTTTGTAGACCAATTTGCCTTGAAGGTAGAGTATAAGAAGGGGAGGTGGTAAGAGGGAGCTGGGGAGGAGGTAGCATAAAAAAAAAGAAAAAGCCTGGAAGAGTAGGTTGGAGTCAGATTGTGAAGCACTTTAAATACTAGCTAGAGTTTGTGTTATTCCAGAGGCAGCAGGGAGCCACTGAAGACTTTTGAACACAGGAGTGACGTGGTTAGATTTATTTTGGCAGCTCCACAGAGGATGGCTTGAAAGGAGAGACTAGAAACTGAGAGACCTGTTGGGAGGTTCTTGTCATATTCCAGGCCTGAGGTGATGAAGTCCTAGATTAGGGGGCTGGCAGGTGAGTAGAAAGAAGGGATTGGAGGTGAAAGATGTAGAAACAGAATCAGAAGACTTGGCAAGTGATTGGATGTAGGGGGTAGGAGAAGGAATCAGGATGGCTCCAAAAGTGACTGGGTGATTAATAGGGTGGTCCTTAAGAGAAGTAGAGAAGTTAGGAGGAAGGTCAGTTTTGGGAAAATCAGTCACTCAATATGTACTTAGTAAGCACCGGCTCTGTGTCAGGCACTGTGCTAGTCGCTATTTGAAAGAGACAAAATTGAGAGTCCCTGCCTTTGGGAGTTTATGTTCTATGGAGGAGACAGACAAAACATGACTGTTGTTGCTATTGAGTTATTTCAGTCATGTCCAACTCTTCGTGACCCTACTTGGAATTTTCTTGGCAGAGATACTGGAGTGGTTTGCCATTTCCTTCTCCAGCTCATTTTATAGAGGCAAACAGGGTTAGATGACTTGCCCAGGGTCAGACAGCTAAGAAGTGTCTGAAGCCAGATTTGAACTCAGGTTTCTTGACTCCAGGCCCAGTGTTCTTTTCCCGGTGCTACCTAGCTGCCCTGATTTTGTTGTTGTTCAGTTGTGTCCAACTCTTTGTGACCCCATTTTGGTGTTTTCTTGGCAAAGATATTGGAGTAGTTTGTCATTTCCTTCTCCAGCTCATTTTACAGATGAGGAACTGAGGCAAACCAGGGTTAAGTGACTTGCCCAGGATTACATTGCTAGTATATGAGGCCATATTTAAATGCAGGTCTTTCCTGACTCTAGGCCTGGCTAGATCCACTGTGCCACCCAGCTGCCCATTAAAATATGATTACAGATGAGTAAATGCAGGATGTGTGTGCGCGCGAGTATAGATAATTTCTGGTGGGGCACTAACAACTGGGGAAAGCTTCTTAAAGGAGGTGGCTGTCACTCTGTACCTTGAAGGGAGCCAGGAGTTCCAAGAGGGGAGGGAGAGCATTTCAAGCATGGAGGTAGCATAGGCCAAGGCACAGAGGTAGGAGATCAATGTTGTCTCCAGAGAACAGTGAGCAGGCTGGTTTACTGGAGTGTAGAATGAATGAGGGGATGATGGACAATTTAGGCAGAATGGGGCCAGATTATGAAGGGTTTTCAATGCCAGCTGAGGAGTCTGCTTTTGTCCTAGGAAGTCATGCCTGTACTTCAGGCATATCCCTTTGGCAGCCATGTGGAGGGTGGAGTGAAGAGAGGGGTGAGGGGATGGGAGTGTGGGGATGGTGGGAGTGGAACCAGTTAGGAGCCTACTACAGTGATCCAGGCAAGAGATGAGTAGGGTCCATGCTTGGGTAGTGGTGGTGTGAATGGAGAGAAGGGGATAGATTTGAGAGCTATTGAGGATGGAGAACTGACAAACCATAGCTATGAGAGGGTGGGAGCTAAGGGAGAGTGAAGGGAAGAGCTGAGGACTCCTAAGGTGGGAACCTTGATGAAAAGATAATGAGTTCTAATTTGTATGTATTGAGTTTGAGATGCCAAAAGGACATTAAGTCTAGGTAGAGATGTCCAAAATCAATCAATAATAAGGATTTATTAAGCACCCATTATATGCCAAAAGGCAGTTTTTGATAAGGCTCCTAGAGATTAGGGCTGAATTTGTTGATTTGGTAGTCATTTATATCAAGATAATTGAAACCACAGAGAGAATGAAATGGGGAAGGCCCAGGATAGAAATTTGGGATATAAGCTGAAAAAGTGGGAGATGAATGATGATTCAGCAAAGGAGGCTGAGAAAGTACAGACAGGTAGGATAAATAGGAAAGAGTAGTGTCATGGAAACCAAGGGAAAAGAGTCTGTTAAGAGGAAAGGGTTTTGAACATGTCGAAAGCTGCAGAAAGGTAAAACAACTATGCGAAATGAGAAAAGACCAAAAGAGGTACTGGTGACCTTGGAGACACAGGTTTCAGTAGAGTGGTGCTGTAAGAAGCCAAATTGTAAGAGGCTGAGAAGTAAGTAGGAAGGGGGAGAGCAGAAGTAGATTGGGGCAGTGGGGTGGAACCCCCCTTTTACCCCTTCATCATTTTGGGAAGAAAAAAGCAAACAAATACATTTTATTGTCTTTCAGCATTATGGTGATGTGCTGACAGCCCTTAATAGTAATTATAATTTAAAGTATTAGTCTGAGGACAGAACAGAACAGATGTATTAACGCATGCCAATCTTTGGGTATTAGCTTCTTGGCATGTGAATGGAAGTATAATGGAAAACAAATACAGTTTTGTGTGCAGTAACTTAATCTCTTATCAGTTTGGTGTAGTGAAAAGTGTGTTAGATTCTGAGTCAGGAGACCTGTGT